CTTTCCGTCATTCTCAATGCCTCTTCCATTTGGGTCCTTCGGCCCGTGCAATCCATGCTTTCCGTCATTCTCAATGCCTCTTCCATTTGGGTCTTTCGGCCCATGCAATCCATGTTTCCCGTCATTTTCAATGCCTCTTCTATTTGGGTCTTTTGGCCCGTGCAATCCATGCTTTCCATCACTCTTTCCTCAAGCCAAACTCACATGCATTCCTCCCAGGCTATTTCGTCCGGCCTTTCTCTAGTCCTGCCAATTTCGCATGCATCCCCCCTTTTCCACCCTTTCTTGCTTCTGGCTTAATTATCTTCACATGCGCATTACTTGGTTAATTTCATATGCATCTCTCTTCAAGGCATCTTGCCGGACCCCTTTTTCAAGCCTTGGTGTCCGCCTCTGGGTTCGAAATTTCCCCGCTTCTTCGTCCCTCGGTACTTCTGGCCCCCCCCTTTTTCCATTTGAGGTCGTTTTGTTAGACCTTTTCAGTCTTATGAGGCAGGTCCAATTTTTCTTTTTATATGTTCCTTGTCATATTCTCGTTCCGACTTTTTCATGCATGTTTCTTGCGGGCATCACACACACTTTTTACTGGTTCCTCGTTAGCTTTTCTCGGGTCCAGCTTAACCATTTGCAAGGCGTTTTTCCACACTCATCTTGCCATACTCTTTTGTGGCCCAATTTAACCATTTCTGAAGCAATTTTCATAATCATCCCGCCAGGCTCTCCTTTGGCCCAGCTCGACCATTTCCAAGGCAATTTCCACAATCATCTTGCCAGGCTTTCTTGTGGCCCGGCTCAACCATTTCCAAAACAATTTCCAAGCTAATCTTTTGGGTCTTATCTCATCTTTTTCCTTTTGCTGCTTTCCCTCTGCACGCTTTGTTTTCAGGTAGATGACACACTTTTCCCCCACTCAATCGCGATGTCCCCATTGCGTCTCTGGTTCTCACTTGGAGGCACGCAGACCTTGCCTGCCAACTGAGTAAGCGGGTGCCGGCCCATCAGCCCCTAAAAGGAAGGGTGATCAGTCCTTCCCCTGCTGATAACTCACCTCACCCCTTACCCTAGTCCGACGACCACTGGCTTGGAGAGGAGCATCATCATGGAGGTGCTTCCTCGCATCCGTAAGGCAGGTCTAGTCCCTACCTCCCAAGATCCCATCGTGCCCAAGAGTGGCCCCCTCGCGACTGGTCCCTCCCAAGTGGTAAATTTTTGTGGATCCGGCCTCTTCCATTTCAAGAGAGTTGGGGCTCTTGATCAGTTTACGAGTGCAGTTACGAAGACCTCGCGGTTAGTCCCGAAACGATTATAATGCTCCGACGAGGCGGTGTCAATGCCCCGTGGTGGTTGTGGCTCCACCCGGTACCTCGTCGGACCTTCCCCGTGGACGTGCCCCTCAACTTAGCGCGAGTGGCCTAGGTCCTTTCCCGAACGGCCAGGCTGCCCCTCAACAGCGTGGCGTGTGGTTGGAGAGGGTCATAAAGACTTAGAAGAGCAACTGTTCGGCCCATCTTGGCACCCTGGACTTTTAGGAACATGAGGTGCAGTTCGAACCCTCCGGCAAGAGCTCATTGTCGGAGCTGGTTCCGGATGTGCAGTATCACACTGATACCTTGATCCTACCTGTTTTCCTGCTAATGAGGAATAGGTCGCGCTTGGACATTTCCTTAAAGGAAAGCGGTCCTGGGGTCGTGGTGCTAGCACCGCTTTCCCCTCATATCGGGCCCTGAGACTAGAAAACGGTTGGAAGGCTCAATCTTTTGCTATTTCCATGGTCGGCCCGACGACCTTTCATCTTTTGCCTAGGGTCCCTTATGTATGCAATGCACTTTCCAATTCTCAAGCAAACATTCGATTCCAGCTCTTTCCAAGTCTTTCACAAGGCTGATTCTCATGGCTGATCCGACAACCTTTTTTTAATCAAAGGCAGCCTTCTCTTCTCATGGCTGATCCATCTGCCGCTTTCCTTTTCTCATGGCTGGCCCGACAGTGTTCCTTCTCCGCTCATCTTGTTTCAATGACCGCCCCGACGGTCTCTTTCCCAACTTCCATTTTCTCAGTCTCTTAATTTCGATGGTCGAGCCGACGACCTCTTTCTTAAGTCCTCCGCTTCAATGACCGTCCCGACGGCCATTCTTTCCAACTTCCCTTTTCAATGGTCGACCCGACGACCTTCTTCTCAATATGTCCGATTCAATGACCGACCCGATGGCCCTTTCTCAATATGTCCAATTCAATGACTGACCCGACGACCCTTTCTCAATATGTCCAATTCAATGGCCGACCCGACGACCCTTTTCTTGCTCATTCATAAGGCAGCCATTCCTCAAGCAAGCATGCAAAGGGACCCCAATGCCTATTTCCAAATAGACAACCCTGATTAAGGGTCGTCCCCGAACAACCTGGTTAGGGTCGTTCTTCTTTTCCAATCTCATCCTTGAACAACCTGGTTAGGGTCATTCCTTTTTCAGATCTCATTCTTAAATAGCCTGGTTCGGACCATTCCTTTTCCAAATCTGATCTTTGAACAGCCTGGTTAGGGCCGTTCCTTTTCCAATTCCAGTACTGACGCCCGAGGGGATGGGCTTTGGGAGGCTCGGATCCGAATATCCCTTGGGGGTTAGGTGGTGGCCATCAGTTTTCAGCGTGCTATCTCTTCAATTTTTTCTTATCAAAGCCTTTTGCTTGTCCCTTTTCATTCGCATGCATCCGACTTAGCGTCTAGTGTGCAGGCGGAAAACATCCAACCTTCGACAACGCTAGCCCGCCCGGCCGTCCAACCATAGACCCAGTGTCTCACATACTTTGCTCACTTCACTTTCCTGTCTTGCAACATGGCGTTGACTCGGTTGGATTAGGCCCCTAGGGGAAAACATCGCCATGCCATTCTACCCATAGGTTTCCTAACCTCTCTGACAATGTGCAACCGGACACTCATACATATGACCATACATTTTCTTTTCAACTTATAATCTTTGCAAACAATCCCACGTCAAGTCCCATGTCCATCCATTACAACCAGTCTCATGGCTCTTCGAGAACAAAAGTCGTGAAAATAACTTTACTTAAGGAAATAACACTCGGTGCTTATGTCTTAATCGATTTCCCATCCAGCCTTACAAAATTGAAATCGAGAAGTAGCTCCATACAAAAAGTTGCTCTTTCCCCTTATCTCATCATGCCCCGTGCCCCTTGACAAGTTCCAACCTAACAAATGTCTTTACATTCCACGACTTGACAAAGTTCCTTAGCAGAGCCACAACAAAAAGAAAGAAGGTCCAATTCATCTAGTCTACAAATCTCATGCCTTTCATGACCCACCCGATTATCCCAATTCTAGCCACCCTTCGCCCTTGCCTTCACGTTCTCTTGCCAACCCGTCCTTAATCCCTAGCACCTGGATCTGTCCTTTGGCGTTTAGCCCCTTTCTCGCTGTTATCCCTCAAGGGTGGCTCCATGCCCAACCCATAAGTTCGAATCTCATCCCTCTTTTCCTTTGCCAACTGCAGATTTTTTTCAGCGAAAAAGTCCAACGGCGTAGATGTTTTCCCAGCCGCCATCAATTTTCGTGCCTTAATAATCCACTCGTGCTTAACCACACTTGCCCATTGCTCGAACCAGTGACTGGGCGTTGGCCCAAACTCTTCCTCCCAATTGATGGCTCCTTTATCCGGGCTTTTTGCCGGAGACTGTCCTTCCTCCCTTGGCCTTGATATTTCATCCGTCTCGTCCTCACTACTTGGCACAGTTCAAGTGCTTAACCACACTTGAACTTCATCATCTAGATCACCGTCCCCTCCTTCCTGTCTTTCCTCGTCATGATTGGTTTGCTTAGTTTCTTCCCCCTTCCCTTCCATTCTCTGCTCATCCTCCTCTTTTGACCAGGTCGGTAGTACCTCGCCTTCCTTAGTAGGCGAGGGTTTACAGGCTGGCAACTTCCTCTTTCTTCTCCCTAGTGATGCTCTTGGTTGTGGCCCAATAACCAACACCGGTCTTTGTCTCGTTATTGAACTCCATATTGCTTGGGCTGTCCTCTGTGCCTGTAATCAATATCAACAGAGAAAAGGAACGGCCCCAATGCACCCCCATTGCGGAGCCCTCCCCAAGTCTGGTCCTGTCTCATCTTTATGTCCACCCGGTTCCCCAGACATGTGGTCCCATCCCAAGTCTTGGTCACATGCGCCCCCAAGTCTCATTCATCCCGTTGGGTAGTCACGACGTCTTGCCCTCAGAGATCTCCTCGCCCCCACCCTTATGATACAATGCGCAGCCCTTGGCATCCATCCAGTGTCCCCGCAAAAACTATGGTACAGTGTCCCAACTGGATCCCATGTCCTTCCCATGCACACACACACGAAAGAAAGGAAGACAACAAAGGCAAAGAGAAAACGCATGTGATAAGTAGCATTTTTGTTGCCGTACTGAGCGACCTATTCTTCTGCTTCCTTGTCCTGAGCTTCTTGCAGTCATTGCTCCACCGGATCGCTGCTGAGGAATCTGACCAGTCGCTGCACAGGGAAAGACCCTTTTATGCTGGTTCCATTCAAGTCCTCAACCTCAAAGGTGTTTATTCCCAGCCTCTTAGTGATACGATAGGGCCCCTTGAATCTTCGCCCTAGCTGTCTTGACCATGTGCTTTCTAGTGCCGAATCCCTGACCAGAACCATTTCCCCCACTTGCAATTGCTCCTTCCTGATATTCTTCAGCTGGTCCCATCTGGTCTTATCCTTCATCCGACTATCGAAGACCCTGTTCACAATTTCTTCCAAGGCTTCCTCATCTTTTGCCGCCCGCTCGCATCTAGCCTCAATCAATCGTTCCGTAGTCAAGTGAGGGTCTTCCCCCAGTTTGTGCCATGTGGGTACTAGGGTTTCTATCGGGAAGTCGATTTCCCTTCCATACCATAATTCCACCGGGACACATCCCGTGGTCCTCTTAGGAGTCACATTCTCAGCGAACACAACTTGCCTGAGGTACTTGGGCCAATTCCCGAGGTCGTCTATTGCCAGCTTCGAAATCGTGTTTTTGAGCGTCTGGTGCCCTCTTTCTACCGGCGAGTTAGCCTCCGGGTGGTATGGTTCAATCAGCTTGAGGGGCACCCCTAGCCTCTTGCAGGAGTTCAGGACGTCTTGATTTACGAACTCAGTCCCATTATCGGCTATAAACCTCCTGATGAATGGGTGCCTCAAGTAGAAATCCTCAACCCAGTCGGCCAATGCCAACCCTGTTTTCTTCTTTAATGCCATGGCCTCCACAAACCCGCTAAGGTTGTCTCTAGCATCGAGTATATACCTGTACCCTTTGGTGGACACAGGCATAACTGCTAGGTCAAGGTGCACCAAATGCCCTGGCCCCAGTACTCGCATGGGCCTGAGTGGTTCGAACACCCGCGCCGTACTCCGCTCCTGGCAGATTCGGCAGGTCTGACAGTATGTAGCAACCATCGAGCCCATTCCCGGCCAGTAGTAGAGAGGTGTTATTTTGGCCAAGGTCCCCTTTGAGGACCGGTGTCCGCCGACCAACCCATCATACCATTGCTTGTATTATGTCTACCTGTCTCGTCTTCCCACATACTACTCTCCTGGGCGCCAAGCCTTCCTCTTTCCAGAACCAGTGCCCTCTTCTTAGCACATACCTGTCTGCCTCTTCCCTAGCTTTAGGGCTGACTTTGTGACCATCCTTGTTTCCTACCAGCAGCAGCCCAATCTCCCTAAAAATACCATTGTACGACTTGAAGAGGAAGAACTCCTCCTCCCGCCGGGAGCTCGACTGAGCGTCACACATTTGGTTAACCATGTATTGTCGCTTTTCCTGTTCCCAGGATTCCACCATGCTCATCACCTTTCTCCATCCGCCTTCTATGGCTAGTGCATCCGTTCTTCCCGAGGCCCCACAATACTACCCCAAGCGTCCTTCTCTTCCTTTTGTCCAACCCTGGTGACCACCCCTTCTCGAAGTTCTGCTACCACCGTAGACGGCCCTTTTTCTAACGCTTTGATCAACAATTCTCCAGCCGTATCGGCGGTCCCAGCCATCTCATTATCCACCACCAGAGTCCCTCCCTCGAGGTCGAGGAACGCATCGATCGGCTATGCTTCTTCTAGTCCCTCCGGCGGAAAGCTCACCCTGCTCAGTCCGTCTGCTCGATTCCTAAGACCAGCTATGCGCTCAATCTCGTAGTCAAATCGCCAAATGAACCCTACCCATCTCCCCACGGTGGGATCGATAGTCCTATAGTTCTTTAAAGCTCCCGCGACATTGGTCGGATCTATCCTCAAGACGAACCTTCTCCCAAAGAGATATGCCTGAAAGGTCTTGAGGCAGTGGAGTATCGCAAGCACCTCCTTCTTGAACTGGGAATAGCGACGCTCGACCGAGTTGAGCGCTCTACTCTCGAATATAATGGGGACGCTCCCTCTCGTCTTCGCCTTTCTAAATCAATACCCCTCCAACGGCTACGGGTCCCCCATCAGTCTCAAGCACGAAGGGCATCCTACTTCGTCATTGGAGCACGGGGTCGCGAGGGTGACTTCTTCGGATGTCAGTATCTTCTTCAAGGCGTGGACGGCCGCTTCCCGGTCCTCGGTCCAGTCAAGCGTGCCTTCCTCGCGGATCATGGCCCGAATAGGTTCCGCTATCTTTGCAAACCCCTTTATAAAGATTCTCCAGAAGCCTACGACGCCCAAGAAGGCCCTCACTTCTGTTGTGGTTCGAATGGGGGTAGGCCATTGAGCAAATTTTGTCAATCTTAGCCGGGTCCGGCTTCCTTCCGTAAGCTCCACAGCGGAACCCCAAAATCGTGACTTTCGGAACTGCCAGGATACTCTTTGGGCCGCTAGCAGTTATATTATATTCTAGGAACTTCCGGAGCAACTCTTTGATATCTTGTAGGTGGTTCCATACGAACTTTCTCACCCCTCGTTGAGCCTCCGTCTCGTCCTTGTCTCTCGCCCCTTTTACGGGATTGTCATCGATGTAGGGCTCACATTTCGCAGGAAACATATCTCCCGCGACCGCAAGCATTCTCCTTTGCGCCTCTGCTACTGCGGTGGTAAAACCCATGGGCGTGACCTGCATTTGCAACTCGCCCACTGGCGTATGCATAGCCGTGTAGGGTCTGTCTCGGGCATCCAGTGGAAGCTGATCGTACCCCGAGTACAAATCTATCAACGAGTAAATGCTACAACCCGCATGGGATTCGGCCAGGAGGTCCGCCTGGGGCAGCAACCCCGCATCCCGGATAGTGACAACGTTTAACTTCTGCAAATCCTGGATCCATCTCAAGGACTTGTTGGGTTTTCGGAATACAAACCACTTGTTGGCGTACGGCGACGCGGTAGGCTCCGCCACAAAAGAGTCCATCTTTTCCCTGAGGAGCTCCGTAACTTCTCCGACAATCCCGAAGTCATACGCGGGCCCCTTGTCATTCCAGCACTCATGCTCGACCGTATGGATTCTGACTGGCGGGATCAATTTTGTGTCTAGCCTTCCTTTCTGATGGTCATTGAAAGCGAAAGCTAAGTGGAATTCTTGGCAAGCCTCCTTGATTATCCGTGTCTCTTGGTCCGTCAGGAACCCTTCCACCGCTATCTTCATGGTCTGGGCTACTTCATCCGGTATCCTATGTCCCTCGGCTGCCTTCCTTTCCTTGATTACCCGGAGGACTTCATCCTGCTTTTCCATGGCCTCGTCCTTAGTCATTTCCAATAAGATGGAGACCGGCTTCGCCTTTTTCCCCACTCGTTTATATTTGCGAACGTTTCCTTCCGGGATCTTTCTTCTAAAAAATGAACCGCCGGGGTTGTTTGTGCTACTTCTGCAATTCGGGGCTGAATGCTAACTAACTCACCGTTCAGGCAGTAGCCCTTTCGAACTTCCTTCTCAAACCTGGCGAGAGAGGCAGTGTCAACTCCTACCTTATGATACCTGATCGCCTTGATTAGATGGAGTAGATCCGGAACTTCTAGCGTTATCCTGGTGCCTTTTCCTCGGACCTCCTCACGCTTTGGCAGACTCCCTCCCAACTTCACTTTTGTTTCCTTTTCCACTACCATAACTCCTAGGGCATCTTCATTCGGTCTTCGCTTTTTCTGTGGAAGCCCCATCTTGACCCACTCCTTCTTGTTGAAAACTTCTTCTATCATTATCTCCACCCTCTCTCTCATTCCTTCCATTCACGCAAAAGACCCCTTTCTAGCGCTCTCCTCGAAGGAAGGCGACCAGGTAGCCAATTTCCCTTTGGGCGTGTCTCCCCCAGTTCCGATGAGGCGGAGCAATTCGCCGCGCCCCGTTACTGGGTCCTCTATGTCCACCATATATGCCCCATCATGGAGATGCATGCCTATCATTTCCACATTTGCACACCAAGGTCTTCCTAGGATTAGGTCATGGTCCATTTCGTCCATGACGGTCATCCGTAGGAACGACCATATAGACTCCCTGACTCCGGCTTTGACCGCGCATTTGGTGACATACCCGGAGAAGGGGATTTTCCCACCGGCTCCGCGAACACTCCCCGTGGTTTCCCTGTTTACCGGGCAGCCGACGATTGTCGCGAAATCCTTCCGTATGAGCGTGATTTCAGCCCCCCAGTCCACTAGTGCATCCATATGGTGGCAACCGATTTGAACCCGTAGCTTGCCTACCGGTAAGGCGTGAAAGCTCAACTTCGTACCGGGAGGGGCCCTCATGACTTTGCCTCCTTCCCGATCCAGCGGACTTAGCCGAATGTCTGCGAAGGCCTTTTCCAAGTCCTCTAAGTTGTCGGGAACTCTTTGGACATTTGCAACTTCTTGCGGTGTCTCTTCTTCCTTTTCTCTTTCCTGGTGCCCCGGTTCCTCCTCTACTTCGACCCTTTGCCTTGTTAACTGGTGCCTGAGTCCCTTTACAAGTCAAGGGCTGGCCTGCAACATCGTCTGGAATGATACTGATACCATGGTCCCTAGTAGTTTACAAAGGGTGTCATCGATCTCTTGTGTGGCGAGGATGGCTATTTGGTACCAAAACTTTTTTTTTGCCGGTGTTGCCTTATCGACGGGGGTCTCATCCCTAGGTTTCCCACAGGCTCTGTCCTGGTCTGACTCTGTTACTCCTGGTGACATACTTGGTCCTTCTTGCGCATCCTCCATGACCGCATCCTGCACGACCTTTTTTGTGGCAGTCCATTACCTAGTAGTCTCGTTAACCCTATCCCGTCCATCGTTTTCCATAATGAAATTGGCATGGGCCCCTCGTCCCTGCGCCTGCCCCCACGTGAGTTCCGCCACAGGCTCAGCTTCTACTACAGCGGTGTCTAGGTTGTTGAATGCGATCACGGCCCGACGCATCCCTCCTGGCGAATTCCAATTCATTCTCTCCCCGAGGTCCTAAAATCTCTCCGCGCAGGGTCCTAGAGCACCGTTTAAGCATGATATCGTGGTTGAGTCTCAGACACATCCGTACGAAGTGTCCGATCAACGTGCAATATTTGCACTGTTCGTTGGCCGGGTCCCTTCGATTATTCCCACGGTTGGCTATACCTGCGAGGGCGATTGCTTCCTGAGGCGGGAGAGGAGGCCGTACTGCCTGGCTCTCCGAAACCTGGGCCTGCATAACCAACATGACGTTCTCTACTCTCTCGATTTTCCCATCTACCCCATGAACGCGCTCATGCAGGCTTTCGATTCCTCTCTTTACCTTATCACCCGTTTTGCCCGTTAGGTCTATGATCTCCCCTTCTTTTAACAGGGCCAGCGAGTCGGTTACGACCATCTTCTCCGCAATGTCGGTTATCGTGCCGAAGTCAACATCCCTCGTGTTCAGGAATTTTGTGGTTTGCTGGTAGGCTGACATGATTTTGTCCTTATCAAACTCTGTGAACTGTCTTAGAAAATACTTGCTCATTATTCGGTCGGTGACCCCGGGGATGCGCAGCACTACGAGAGTAATTCTCTCAGGAAGTCGTTGTACATTGCGAAGTCCTTTCGTTGCACAGCGGCTAATTCTGCTTCCGTGGCCATCTTCTCGGCTGCCAGGTACTTTCTCATCATCACGTCCCGAGCCTCCTTCCACGACCCGCTCGTGGCGACGATCGCCATTATATCCCTCCCTAGGTTCAACGACACGTGTTGCCCCAGGTGCTACATCTTCTCTTCCTCGCTCCACCTCAGGAGTGCCGCCAGGTTCTTATAATCTATTAGGAACTTTGTGATATTTGGCCCGTCAAAGGTCAGTTTCTTCTTCGCGTCGGCCAAGTACCCCTGATTTTTGCTTAGCGCGCGGGTGAGGGATGCCACAACTTTCCTAAGCCCTCCTTCGACCATTCCTGACCCTGCCGCCGATCCGGCCCCCAAATCTTTCTTGCTTGTGTCTGGTCTTCCTCTCACCCTCGCAGTTCCCTCCGGATTAAACCACCCCAGCACTCTCTCTTTGAGACTCTAGAGTCCCTCGCACCCCCTAGCGATTGCTGGGGACGCCGAAGGTCGACTTGCTCCACTATCCAAGAGAGGCGGGTTGGTAGGTCTCTCTACATCCCTTCTGGGAGAGTCCACTTTTTCCTTCTCTTTCCTCGTTGGGGTCCCCCTGGGATCCTTGACCCGGTCCTTCCTCTGTTGTACGTTCGCGTCCTGGCCCCCTTTCCCTTGACTTGCCTCCTCTTCCTCTCGTGTCCTTCCGTCCACCGAGTTCTTCTCGCTCTCGTTCATTATTTCTTCCAGTAATTTTGCCCTAAATTTTGTTGTCCTCCTTCCACTTCTGCCAGCCTCTTCCGCGTATCTGTCAGTCTTACCCTCTTATGTTCCGCGCCTTCCAAGTGCTGGCGTGTTGGGCTGCCTTTGTCCCTAACCTCCTTAGCCTCATGGGTCCCACGCTTGCTTCCTCCACCCTTCCCTGAGCTTCCACCAGGGACGATTTCCTTACTCCCTTCTGCAGCCCCTGGCAACTTTGCTGACTCCCGGTCCCCTAAGGCGTCCTCTTCTCGCTCTACATCTCCGTCTACACCCAGGTTCTCGTCGTCCTGTTGACTCCCGACACCCTCGCCCGTTGCCATTTCTTTCTCTCTCTAGCCCTGTATATGGAAAAAAAAAATTTCGGCACGACAGGTAGGTCTCAGCCCTCAAGGTTCCCTTGGTCCCCAAACTGTTTCTCACTCACAGTCACCCCCTTTTCCCCTTGCCACACCATTTTTCATGATTTCCTCATTTACTACGACACTCCACTTATTCCTTCACACCGATTCTAGTGGCCTTGGCTAGTGTTCTCGATCTGCCTCTCCTAGTTTCGAGGACGGCGACCTCAGGGTGGGTAGACTTTCCCACCCCTTGTGGCCGGTCTTCCTTCTTTTGTTCACCCCCAGCATTTTCTTCGCCCCCTTTTGGTCACCGCGTCCGTCCTCATCCTTCCTACCGCCCCCCCGGTCGAGAAAGAACTCTGGCCGCTGCCTTTTTGCCGGCTTATTAGCCCTATCCCCGTCATACCTTTCGAAAAGCTCTTATCCCTACGGCCTTCCTCGACGTTTTGCTCACACCGGCTCCTCAGGCCCGTTCCCTTCATCTGGCTCTTCGAACATCCTTGCCACTCCCGCAAGGTAGTTTTCCCCCATCTCAATTTCCCTAATGATTATTGGCTCATATTCCTCAAAGGATAGGTGAGGCGTCCCAAATATTAAAATCTCAATGAGCTCAAGTAGTTCACACGCCCGGTTTCCCCAAAACGGCCCGTACCTCACTGCCACATCGTAAAACATCCCGGTCGTTTGCAGTTGGAAGTGGTGGTTCCAGACTATGGTCGAACTCACCAATTCCCTTGCCCGAGAGAGGCTTCCGAATATCCGGTCTATCATGAACCGGGGCACCCGGCAGCGCAGGCCGGATGTCGGGGCCCTGAACTCTCGCCATCCCCCTACTTTACCCGCATCCTTAAGCCCACGTTCCTTCTCCCCTTAACTTCGTGTCCTATCCGGTTTAGTGCCCTGACCGCTCTCCGAAAAAACCGTAGCAGCCCATGCCCCAGGGCCAATTTTGTTCCCAACATCTGCCACCTGGTCTCAGGGAAGTACAAAGTCCCGGTCACCCTGAGGTCGGTATACAGGTCGTCCCCTAGCCCCCTATTAAATCTCATCCCACTCCATAGACATTCCACCATCATGAAGGTCTGGTTTTGCCCCAAGATCACTGCTCGCCATTCCACATCTATTCCCCGGACCTCGTAGCTCGCCGGGAGCGACACTTCCCATCCGTTGCTGATTTCCAAGGACGGCCCGGGTGCGCGGGCTGTTGCGCCGTACGGACGCGTCTCCTTGCCATTGCCCTGCAAGTTTCCCACACAGAAAAATAAGAAAAAAAAAAATCCCCTTTTTATTCTTTTCCATATCCTCCCCCCTCCCTACTTCTACCTGCATCCTTAAGCCCACGTTCCTTCTCCCCTTAACTTCATGTCCTATCCGGTTTAGTGCCCTGGCCGCTCTCCGAAAAACCCGTAGCAGCCTATGCCCCGGGGCCAATTCTGTTCCCAACATCTAACACCTGGTCTCGGGGAAGTACAAAGTCCCGGTCACCCTGAGGTCGGTATACAGGTCGACCCCTGGCCCCCTATTAAATCTCATCCCACTCCATAGACATTCCACCATCATGAAGGCCTGGTTTTGCCCCAAGATCACTGCTCGCCATTCCACATCTATTCCCCGAACCTCGTATAGCTCGCCGGGAGCGACACTTCCCATCCGTTGCCGATTTCCAAGGACGGCCCGGGTCCGCGGGTTGTTGCGCCGTACGGACGCGTCTCCTTGCCATTGCCCTGCAAGTTTCCTACACAGAAAAATAAGAAAAAAAAAAAAAATCCCCTTTTTATTCTTTTCCATATCCTCCCCTCTCCCTACTTCTACCTGCATCCTTAAGCCCACGTTCCTTCTCCCCTTAACTTCGTGTCCTATCCGGTTTAGTGCCCTGGCCGCTCTCCGAAAAACCCGTAGCAGCCCATGCCCCAAGGCCAATTCTGTTCCCAACATCTGCCACCTGGTCTCGGCGAAGTACAAAGTCTCGGTCACCCTGAGGTCGGTATACAGGTCGTCCCCTAGCCCCCTATTAAATCTCATCCCACTCCATAGGCATTCCACCATCATGAAGGCCTGGTTTTGCCCCAAGATCACTGCTCGCCATTCCACATCTATTCCCTGGACCTCGTAGCTCGTTGGGAGGGACACTTCCCATCCGTTGCCGATTTCCAAGGACGGCCACGGGTGTGCGGGTTGTTGCGCCGTATGGACGCGTCTCCTTGACATTGCCCTGCAAGTTTCCCACACAGAAAAATAAGAAAAAAAAAAAATTCCCTTTTTATTCTTTTCCATATCCTCCCCCCTCCCCGTTATCACAGCCATGTTCTAGCTTCCTACCAATCTCCTCCTATCTTCCCTACCTCCTTCCCTGTGCTCCTATTCGTCCGCCTCCTCGAATAGTCTGTGGACATCGTCCACATAGGTCAAGCCGCAACCTATCTCGCGCCTGACCACCCCCCACAGAACTTCCTCAACTATCGCGGGCACTCCTGGCCTGGTTGTTATGACAGCATGCTGAATTCTCAACACCTTGTATTCTTGGTCTCCTTCAAAAGGGCCCAACTCCAGGAAGGCTCAGTAATATTCTTGGCACTCCGTCATGTCACAAAAACTTAGCCTACTCAAAGCTGCCACCGCCTACTCCACGCGCTCCGCTCCCCCCAAGCGGCCGAGTAGGAAGGGCGGCAAACTCATACGCACGTTTTCGTGGGGCAAGATGCAGGCCCTCACTTCGAGCACTCGAACTTCTGCCACGCCCTGTCAAACATCTGCACGGGGTTGCCGCCGGCGGCCAAGGCCACCCCGAAGGTCCGCCACCCCTCTTCGGAATGAGTACAGGGACCCCGTGGCATGCACACGCCCTGGCAGATCCGGGCTCACTCCCCCGAATTCCCCCCTCGCGTGCCATTCTAGTTCCACCAGTAGGTACACCGTATCCTCTACTAGCTCTACCCCTACCCAATCCATCACCGGGTTGTGCACCCCATCCCTGGTTGGCATGGTAACTTCCAACCTTCCTTCTGAGATCCGAGGCGGCCGAATTCCGCGGGGCCGATCCTCCCAGAGCGTCCATCGCCTGGCCATGCCGCGTCGCTTCCAGCTCCTAATCCCTGACTGCTGCATCCAACACGATTTCACATTTCCCCTTTTAGTCCTAGAATCCCTCCCGCGCCCCTTGGTTGCGCCTTCGTTATCCTTCCTTCCTATGCGTGCGAGCCCCTAGGGTTATTCTTACATCCAGGACTGTTCAAACAGCAGGAACACATCCCCTACAGACGAGGGGGTTGCGGTTACCTCTCGGCGGAGTATCGCCTCCTCGACCCCGTCCTCCATCGTAAGTCGGTCGTTCTTAAGGGCCTCTAGTCTCTCAACCACTTCCTTGGCGCGGTCCCCGTGGAAGAGCCCTAATCGCAGCGAGGTCCTATAATAAGCGTCTGCTAACCAGGTGAACCCTAGTTCCACCTCACTTAGCGAATCCGCGACCGCCCGGATGTGCTCGTACCCTCAGAACCAATTCGCCACGAAGTGCGGGACCCAAGTCTGAACCAGCTGATACGGTAACCTAAGCTCCTCCCATCCTCCCAACACGACCCTGCTCCTTACTTCATCCCATCCTTCGTTCGCAAATTCGCGGCCCGTTTCCCAGGTCAGTCGCTCGGCCTTGCCTAGGATCCACGTCGGGTCCCACCCGGCGGCTAGGCAAACACAAAACAGGTGCCACCCTTCCTTCGACAGGTACAGAGACTCCACATCCCCCTCAGCTATCTCGTCCTTCACCTCATTTTCCCTGACCGGGTTCCATACCCTCTCTACCCATAGAAAGGACAGCAGTTACGACTTCTACCCCTACCCATTCACATGCCGTCCCTCGCCATTCGTTCCTCATGGGTAGGACCATCTCCACCCCTCCCCCGACCCGCCTAGGTGTCCATCCTCTAAACATCCGTTCCCTCATGCTTTGCTCACTTGCCATCCTTGATCCCCTGCACAGTCCAAATCCACCCACGCCATACAACCCCAGCCCCTTTCTTTTAGAAATCCCAATCCTCAATCTCTATCTCCTCCTCCTCCTCCGAGTCATCTTCGTTCTCCTCATACCACAGGTCTTGTACCCCTTCCAGAAACGTCTCCCCTAACGGGCCCCTTGGTACAGTCCCAGGTTGGTCATGGATCTGCATATCCGCACCAGCCTGCTCCGGGTCCCGAAGACGGCGTCTACCATGAAGGGCGGCATGACACACCTCAGGGTTCTAAAGGGCTTCCGTACATTCCCTCTATCCCCGAGTTCCACTCGCACGTCAGTCTTTTCCATCACCATTTCCACCTGTTGGCACGCAGCCCACACCACTTCCCGCTCAGCCTCCTTGAACAATTTGTACGGGAGTATTCCTAAGGCAAGCTCTATAATCATGGCGTTTTCCTTTTCCTTAGACAAGTAGACCCATCCCCGAGCCTCCACGGTCCCCCGAAACTCAAGTCTAGCAGGCTTGGCGCTAACCTCGTCAAACTAACCTTGGTCCATACTGTTTCGATCCATAGGAAGGCATCACTTTCGGCCAGCATCACGGTTTGGTATGCCGGCTCCAGGTCCGTCCAAGTTCCTTCATCCGGCCGGCATCACAACCGACACCCCACCCTTTACGTCTACCGGCATCTCTGGTCCGCCGGAGTAGGTTGGCGAGGACAACCACCGCGCCATTTTGTCCTTCCCTAGTTGCCGAGTCCTGCTTTTTCAAAAAGGAGCACCAATCGGCCCTCGGTTAGGTTGGCCGTAGTCCTAGATGAGAATTGTTTTAGACCCCTCATCAAGATCTCCCTAAATTTTCCCTTTGCCCATTTCCCAAGTACCGTCGCCCTGTCGCATCCAAAGTCGGTCACTATCCGCCGGCATTCCTTTTCTAGGTTCCTTTCCTTCCGACTCCTATCCTTGTTCCTTTCCGTTTTCTCTCACTCGTGCAGACTTAGAGAGGGCTTAGAAGGCTCGACTCCTTCCCAACAATCTCAAACAACTTTACAGAGGGAGACACAAAAGAAAAAAATCAGGCAATTCTCGCACACAGGCCGATCATGTCCTCACCGGTCTTTCTCCCGAAAGTGGTCTCTCCACTGTTACTATCGGCAGAGTTTTACCCCGTACCTCAAGCACAGCTCAACCGTCGCGAGCGGGGTACCCAGACTCCAGTGGGGGGACACCCTCACCTTCTTGCCCAGAATACCCCATCCCGTCTTGCCGCTCTTGTACACCCCCGTTGGCACCGGGAATTACCCCGTGTACTCGGTGGGGACAGAAATCAGTCATCCGGGCATTGACATCCATCGGTCCAATAAGAATCAGCCTTTACCATGTCGTATCGTGAGAGGCTACTAATCGCCTCCGGAGCTCCCTCCGAGCCCCATGTGCAAAGGTCCTTTCCCTGCCCGTCAACAAGTCAGGCCCCACCTGAGGAGACGTTTCGCACCCCATCCGGGCAAGGCGCCGAGCCACGCTCGGACCTACCTGGGTGGGAATGCTACTAATCAACCGGCGTGCCAACACCCGTCCAACGGCTCGGTGACGTGACCTTGCACATGAAAACCCGACGGCCTACCCGAAGAGAACGACGTTTCGCAACCCGCACCAGCCGGTGCAGACCCATCCTTTCCTTCCGAAATGGCAGGACGCTCAATTCCCCTTCATGCAATCACAAGTCCCAAGTGGGACATATATAATACAGGTGCCTTTCTCATGGTGCTCCCAACGCTTCCTACCCCTTCCTCACGCTTTTCTCTCGGAACCGTGTGTGCCACTCACCCCTAGTTTCCATACATAGTGTCCGGTTCCTTCTCGTGAGCTTCTTCAAAGGTGAGCTATTTTTTCTTGGAGTCTAGCAACTCACTTCATTCCCCTCATCTTCACTTGTGTGTCCGTTCACAGGGCGGGATTGTTTCTTCTCGATTACCATTTTTTTCATATGAGGTTCCTTCAAGCGTTTCAAGTCAAAGTGCAAAGAGCCCGCTGGGCTCCGGAGAAAAGGAAGAAGGCACCCATGTCGGTCGGATCACTCCACCGCGGGATTTTCGTTGGAACCCGGACTAACCCGGAATTCCAACCGCCTGCCAGGTAACCGGAGCCCTTCTTTCGCACGAAGAGGAAGGGTCGACCTGCGGCTTGCCCAAGGCTTCCCCGGACTTACGAACATTAGCCCGAAAGAAGGAGGACTAGAGTCACCTCACAAGGAGATGGTTAATCAAGGGTGCAACACGCATATCATTCCTCCAGGTCTGGCCTTGCCATGCGCCCAACCGCCCTCAAATCTGATTCTCTCAAGGGAAAAGAGCATTCACAAGTCCTCATTCTTTGTCTTGAATTATTGTTCACGCATGTGCGTCCGACGCCCCCTTCATGATCGTATGGGTCAGTTTAACCCATGCCCGTCACCTCCACCATTTCTGTTGGGCCGAACCCCGATAGACTTTCGAGCCTTTGTCGACCCCGCTGCGGGTCCCACTTGGCTCGACCCGCCCACGCTCAAGCTCTGGGCGCGGGTCATTCGTCTCGCGGCCACCCCCACCTAGTGCTTTGGTATGGATGGGGATGGACCAATAGGGCGAGAGAGCTTAACATTGGGGATGTATTTCAACCCTTGCTTTGGGTGGTAGCCTCGCTGGTCGACTGTCGCAAACGTAGATTCTCGATTCCCCGTTGTATTCACAAGCAGTTGCTCCTTCCAATACTAGGCAGTCCAGGGGTTTATTGGAGATTTCTCTTCTTTTCGTGCGCAGGATAAGCATTATCCTTAGGCCACGCACCATTTCCCTAGCGTCATGACAGATCTCCGGCATCATCGGGGCGTGGCCCTGCCGTCCTTTCCCTAAGCCGCTATCGTTTCCCTTGTCTGGCCCACGCGTTCCATTCACAAAACCATTCCGGGCCTTAGTCTTTTCGGGCCTCCATTTCACACGCAACAGCCAAGGCACAATCATACCCTACAAAGCCATGCCCCTCTCTTCCATCCCCTTTGCTTCCCTTTGGTCCTCCTCTAGTTCGCTTATCCTCTTCCCAATCCGCCCACGTCATTCCGAGCTACTCACCTGCACAGTTCCCACACAAGCAAGAAACAACATTCATCCCCCCCCCATTGGGGTCAACACATCGCCCTTCCCGCAAGCCTAAGTTCCTTTCCCTTCCCATGGTTCTTCCATCTTTCCTCGTCTTCCCACAATCAAACCATGCTATCTTCCTTAGCCATACAATCAGGGAAGATGGTTGAGTCAACTGACCTTGCCCAAAACTCGCACTTGTCTTCACTTTTTTTTTCAATGTTTCCGCTTTTCTCAGTTCACACCTCTTTCACTTCGCTCCTTCTTGGCGGCGCAAGGGACCGGCTGCCCCCCCCTTGCCCTCTTTCTCCACCAAATGAGGCTGCCTATTTTCACCGTTCGCCCCCTGGCAATGTAACAAGTGAGGGTAGGTTAGTCACATGTCAAGAGGGGAAGGCAGAGAGGGAAAGGGTGAGATAACTTGGGGTGCGCGCAGAGGGGGACGTCGATGGGCGGACGAGCGGTGGACCACGAGAAGATACAGGGGACGAGGGAGGGAGAGAGAGAGAGAGAGAGAGAGAGAGAGAGAGAGAGAGAGAGAGAGAGAGAGAGAGAGAGAGAGAGAGAGAGAGAGAGAGAGAGAGAGGGGGGGGGAGAAAGAGACCCCTAGGCCTAATCAAACTTACTTCTTAATCGCCCCCCTACCCTACCCAAGACGCCCCATGCCCCTTAGCCGCCCTACTTCGAGCATGATACACGGGTGCCGGAGGGAGGTGGAGGAGGGAGAAGGTACAAGGTGCTTGGTTATGGTGGATGGGTGAAGGAGATGGAGAAGGAAGGAGGTTCGAGGTGCGTGGTTATGGTGGACGGTTGTGGGAGATGGAGGAGGAAGAAGGTAGAAGGTGCTTGGCTATGGAGGATGGGTGATGGAGATGGAGGAGGAAGAAGGTGGAAGGAGCATGGTTATGGTGGACAGGTCTGAGAGATGGAGGAGGAAGAAGGCGGAAGGTGCTTTGGTTATGGCGGATGGGCGTGAGAGATGGAGGAGGAAGAAGGCAGTGCGTGCTTGGCTATGGTGGATGGGGTGTGGGAGATGGCGGGGGAAGAAGGTGGAAGGTGCTTTGGCTATGGCGGATGGGTGTGGGAGATGGAGGAGGAAGAAGGTGAGGGGTGCTTGGCTATGGTGGATGGGTGTGAGAGATGGAGGAGGAAGAAGGTGTGGGGTGCTTGGCTATGGTGGCTGGGTGTGGGAGATGAGGGAGGAAGGAGGTGAAAGGTACTTGGCTATGGCGGGTGGGTGTGGGAGACGAAGGAGGATGGAGGTGGAAGGTGCTTGGCTATGGTGGACAGGTGTGGGAGATGAAGGAGGATGGAGGTGGAAGGTGATCGGCTATGGTGGACGGGTGTGGGGGATGAAGGAGGATGGAGGTGGAAGGTGCTTGCCTATGGTGGCTGGGTGTGGGAGATGAAGGAGGAAGGAGGTGGAAGGTACTTGGCTATGGCGGGTTGGTGTGGGAGATGACGGAGGATGGAGGTGGAAGGTGCTTGGCTATGGTGGACGGGTGTGGGAGATGAAGGAGGATGGAGGTGGAAGGTGATCGGCTATAGTGGACGGGTGTGGGGGATGAAGAAGGATGGAGGTGGGAGGTGCTTTGAGTTGTCTTTTGGACATCTATGCAAGGTGGATGGGGGTGGAAGATGATGGTGGAAGAAGACATGAAGCGGTCGGCCATGGTGGATGGGTATGGAAGACAAAGGTGGAAGAAGGTGTGAGGTGTGGTGCCGTTTTAATTGCCCATATGTCTGGGAGTCCCGCCTATCTGCAGCCTACTTCCCCAGCACTATCCTTTCCGTGGACACACCAATGTCACTAATCCATACCCCGTAGGAAATCACCAAGGTCGCAAATACCCCATCTTGCAGCAAACAGAGACCTTTGTAGGAAATTTAGAAATTGCAGGAAAATACAGGGTTTGCAGCACGCACCGTCTTTTCAGAAAATTGCAGACTTTAAAGAATCGGAGCACTATTACCTATCATGCAGATGAACAGCACAGGCGCGGATAGCCAAGATCAACTGGGGAACGCCATCACATCATTCAAAGAAGGGTCGGAGCAGAACTACCTAGTACGTGAGCGACAAGCACGGGTGTGAACAATACAATTCACAAGTGGACAGCCTCACAACACTCATGGATGAATCAGAACACAACTACCGAGTACATGAGTCGAAAGTACGAGTGTGAACAGCACAAATCACAAGTGAACAGCATTACAACACTCATAGGTGAATCGGAACACAACCACCCAGTACACGAGCAACCAGCATAAGAGAGGTCAGCACAAATCACAAATGAACAGCATTACAAACTTCCAAGGTGAATCGGCACAGAACTACCTGGTACATGAGTGAAGGCATGAATGTGAACAACACAAACCAGCAGCGGATCATCAAGGTAAGTGTCGGGATATCTCCGCCTATCAACCAAGCACAAAAGACAAGTTTTATCAAGTCTACAGCCAATGTATGAGCAGCGGGGCATCAAGGTAAGTGTCGGGATACTACCGCCTACCAAACTAGTGCAAAACACAAGATTGAACAGTCCTACAACCAAGATTTGAATAGCGGAACATCAAGGTAAGTATCGGGATATCACCGCCTACCTACCTA